TACATTTCCATTTTTGGAGAGGATATAGGATCTACACAGCCAATAAAAAGTTCAGCGACTAAGTGACTTGCACCATACTACAAAAAAAATTCTCCTTTATGCATAATGTAATTAATGAACATCATATTGAATTGCTTATCGATAAAAAAACATTGTTTGAGTTTTTGAACAAATTCTACTACATTCAAGGATATGTTTTACAAGTCTTTGTTTTTCCCTCATTGACATTGGAACAAGGTAAATAATCTCGCCTTGTATTGAAACATTATAAAAACATTACCAATTCACTTAATTTTCAGGTAAATAACAAATCATTCTAATAATCACCATTAAACAATTTTATTTTGGTTTAAAAAACAAACAAACAAACAATAAATATTTATATAATATTTTCATCCATAATAACGTTTTTAAAAAAATGCTTACATTCAATAGTGAACTTTTTTGAGGATTATTAATTGGACTCTTGCTTGGTTTCCTACTTCATTACAAAACTTACAAAAATCAATTATAATTATTTTTGCCATAAATGATTGGGCTGGTAGCTATTAAGCATGTTGGCTGAAATTGTCTCTCTTAATAGATCGTTGCTGAATCCAAAATGCCAAAATTATACCCAAAATTATTTGAACACTGACTGAATTTTGGGTAATTTTTTTAGAATATTGAAAATCTGAAATTTCTTGCCGAAATTGATTTTTCAAAAACCATTTCGGCTAACATCCTTAGTAGCTACCATTGCCATAAATGAATATGAATAGAGCTGTCACATAACTGCTGCAAATAGATACGGCTGCTACACATAACTACGATTGCTTGCAAATAGATACGGCTGCCGCAAATAACTATGACTTCTGCAAATAGTTTCAATATTAATATAATTATTGTCATGAGAAAATTTTCTTGTGTTATTTGTGATCTGCCGTATATATTTGCAGCTGTATCTGTTTACATCAACCATATTTATTTGCAGCAGCCGTAAATATTTTATGATGTAACTACACTATGGTAGTTACCATTGCCGCAAATAACCAATTACGGCAGGTGTCTTTAATTATAATAGTCAATAATATTTTTAAAAAATCTAAAACTAATATTAATAAACAATTTAATAAATTCATCAAAAATATTCTGTGAATTATATAATCTCACAGTCCTATCCTCCTTTTTTTATCTAATGTTTCATTGCCACTAATCCATCCTTCAGTTAATAGCTTTGGATTGCATGATTGACACCATGTCCAATTGGTATTATATCTATTGCAAATTGGAAATTCCCTACATACATTATATCTTTCCTTTGAATATTCATCATTATTACTCTTGTCAGTAAAGTATTGCCACGATGTTTGTTTTCATTTAAAGCATTTTCCATTTTTAAAATTTTATTTATAAAGATTTTTTTTTATAGCCACCATTGCATATTTAGGTTTAAAC